TGCTGATGTTTACAACCAGTTTTCAGTTTTAGTAAACAATTATCATAGGAAATCAAACTACACTACACTGAGGGTACTACTCCAGAATGAATAAATTCAAATTCAAAGTTAACAGTCCAATATCGTCCAAAGTCCAGTTATCACAAATCAAACATGTATTACATCAGACAACATACACACTAACTAACATATATCTAACTATCCATATACAACAGATATCGTGAAGCAGAGAATATGAACATGCTGATCTCATTTCTGTTTCAACAGCTACATCAAGGTAGTTTTGAGATGTGTACCTGAAGTATGAAATAACAAGAGAGAAGAGAGAGAGGTCAGCAACAGTAAACGTAACAGCAGCAGCAAATTAAAACTCAAATCAGCAGGGATCAACTTGTAGGCAGCAGGAGGATTTAATATGGAACAAAGGCAATTTCAGACCCAAAATGACACCACAAGCCCAAAAATCAACCCAGCAATTAACACTTCCAGCAAGTAACCAATCAACCAACTCGAATCGAACCAAATTCAACTCGAAGGAGCTAAAGAGCTTCTTAACTTTAATCACTGAACAAATAAGAACAAATCTGCTGTTTTGGATTCAAACAAGCTAGAACAAACTTCTTGGAGAACATTTTTTTGGGGGGAATTTCTGGAGCTCCAATCTTGGAGAATTGTTCAGATTTATCCAAACTTCTTGAAATTTTGGGGATTTTTTAGGGTTCCAAACTTGAATTGAGCCTCAAGTAACAATGCCTTTATAGGCAAGTTACTAGGGCAGCCTTAGGGGTTTAGTTATTTCATTTTAGTCCCTCTCCAATTTTCCTTTTTGCTACTTAATCCCTCATTTTCTGACTTGTGTCACAAGTTAGTACACTACAATTACTGAAATTACATTGAAGTCCTACTTTGGAAGGTCCTAGAAGATTCTAGTTTCAACTACCATGTGCTATCTAATCCTAATGTCTAAGCTACCCTTGAATTCATCCTAAAATTACTAACTCTAACCCAAACAAAACCCCTGAACCTATTTTGCAATTATTAACCCTTGATCTTGGTCTCAATTTACCAAATTACCATTATCATCTATAACCCAATCGATTAAGCTAATCAATGCCAACTAATTAAGCTAATCTTGCTAATGAATTGAAAACTAAACTTAAAGAATTAGTGATACAATTACTGAATTAAACTAACTATCAGATTTCAGCTATAACCAATTCATCTGACCAATATAAAAATCAGAGTTCCCACTCAAACAGTTCCGCAAAATCAAAACATCATAAAATTAAAACTATCAAATAAATCGAATTGCAGAGTTAACACAGACTCAAATTCATCAAAAACTATTATCAATTAAACTAATGAAACAAAACACATTTAATCATGCTTTACTCTAACAACTATTACTAATTAACAGAAAATAATTTACTTAACAGTAGACCTATTAATTCAAAACAGGCATGCAGATAAACAGAAATAAAGAAAAATAAAAATGAAACAAAAATAACAATCAGAAACTTACTGATGAAAGCTCCGACCAGCCATTAATGTTTGAATCTTCCAAAATTCCTGACACGTAATATCCCTAATCATGTATTTTCATAAGAAAACACCTGGTTATGGATATTACGGTCCGAAATCACAAAGATTTTGAATTAGGGTTTTTGGCCGGAAAAATTTAAATGAAGATTCGAGCAAACCCAGGCAGATTCGAGACAAACGGGTATGGGGATTAGGTAGAGGAGGCTCAGGCGGTCACAGGGTGTTAATTTGGGACTGTGTGGCATACTTTGTGTTTTGGCCGGAAATATTCAATCGATTACTCGACGAGATGGGGGAAGATTCGAGGGAAATGACCATGGGGGTTGGAAAAAGGAGAAGAAGGAGCATCTATGGTGTTTTTCTGGTGGCCATTGGAATGACCGGCGTTCGCCGATGGCGGCTAGGGTTTTGCAGATTTGGAGCGTTTGGTTGGGATTTGGAAGAAAACAATGGTGGATTCGGAGTGGGGAGACGGAGACGAGGCTATGGTGAAATTTGGGGGGTGATTGGAAGTTGGCCGCCGACGGAGACGATTTCCGGCCGGCGGCGGACGGCGGAGAACGGAGGCGGAGTGGTGGTGTATATAGGGGTGTGAGAGAGATGACCGGATAGGGGGGTGGGGTGGGGTTTGGACATATATATATCAAGATTAAACCACTTCCCAACCGTCGGATCAAAGATCCTCGACGGCCAGAATTAATTTTAACAAAAACGACGTCGTTTTGTTACAAAAGGAATTGGACCGGGTTAGGATGCGGGTTTGGGCTAGGAACAGAGGTGGTTTGGACGGATTTTGGGGCTTTGATTTGGGCTAGGGGTGAATTTAGCCCAAATTTGGATCTTCTATTAAGGACTCAATTTCCTTTTGATTTTGTTTTCTTGCTTTTGTATTTTATTTATTTATTTATTTGTTTTTTGGTATTTTAGTATTTATTTATTTTTTCTGGTTTTATAAAATGCTAAAACAAAACAAGGACCTAATTAAACTATTTAACTCCTAAAATTATTTAAAAACTCCATTTAAAGATAAACGCAACAATTAACAATTAAAAATGCAGAGAAACTATTTTTTTTGCAATTTTCTTTAAATTTTGTTCTAAAACTAATTAATACCTAAAATTGTGAAATTAAATCCCTAAATGCAAGTGCATATTTTTTGTATTTTCATATAAATAAAAAAAAATGACACCAATTAACACAAAAGTTTAACAAAAATTCACAAAAATTGTAAAATAATAAAGAAATCAATTATTTGAAACTTTTGGAATAATTTGGTTAGGGCAAAAATCACGTGCTCACAGCTGCCCCTCTTTGCCCGGAAACTCGAAGAGTTTTCGTGCAAAGACAAGTGAGCGGAAATGAGCGATTTTTGCCCGTTCGCATATTCCGTGTGAAGCATCTTGAAAGAGTTGACTGCACCCTGCTTCAGAGGCTGTCTACATATCCTGGGCTAAACAGGAATCAGGTCAGTGTAGTTCTGGAGTGCTTGGTAGCTGGGACTACCAGGAGCTGTGACAAATACAGTACATAAGTTAGCTACACCATGTAATTTTTTCCTTTAATCTCTGCTTCAGAGTATTGGGCTTTTTCTTGACTGAGACTGAGTTGGACTGGGACTTTACCACTGGATCCTTTTAATTTCAAAATGTTTTGGAAATATGTGGGCTGGGTGTGTGGCTTGGTCAAGTTTGATGGGCTATTACGATTATAAACGGGCTCGACCTAGCTTTCATCCAAAATATTTTTTTATTAATTCTCTTTTTCGGCTAACAATATTTTCAGTTTGCTTGTTAGTGCCTTTCCCTTCTCCCCGTTTCGAGTCAAAGGTCTACCTGAAACAGCCTCTCTGCCTTACTCTAAAGGCAGGGGTAAGGTCTGCGGACACTCTATCCTCCCCAGATCCCACTTGTGAGACTATATTGGATATGTTGTTGTTGTTGTTGACGACTATCAATCTTTTATTTTTCAGAAATAAAATAAATAAAATAATGGTCACTCTAAAAGGCACCGGACCAATGTGGCCTTTTCTCATTATCTTTCACAAAATGAGAATAATATACTGTTATATTTTTAAGAAAAATCTTTTAAACAAAATTATCTTATCTTTAGCGGGAATTAAGATGACTCTTTCGAGTATCCAGGGGTTAACATAATTTAAAAAAAGTAGCGTTGTAATTTTACAATTCTAAGTTTGGCATTCTGTTCTTATCATTTCTTTTGCGAATACGTGATACCATTCCATATTTATTCTTCTAAACACAAATACACAATTATTTGTTCGTCCAATATTTAATCAATAGGAATAGGTCAGGTCAAGTTTGACAATAGCCAAAGTCATAACATGAAATGTTCCTTGCAATTTCAATGTAATAACTAATTCTCCTTCTTATTTGGTCATAATAATATATTTTAATTAGCTAAAGTCGTGTATCTAATCTACTCAGATATTCCTTTGCTAAGTTCTTCTAGTCTTAAATTAAAGTATCCTAAACTAATTAACAAAATACACATATGTGGTTGGCCAAAACTGCCAATTTTGTGAGCTCAAATGAAGAATAATTGCAGTACTGACACCTCTAAAGCACTTCGAATAATTAGTTCATGCACCTGTACCCAAAGTAATTAATTTAATGCGTTCACCAACTGCTAAAAAAGTTCAAGAAATCTGAATATAATAGTAATTGAAGAACAAAAAGTCACAACGGCATTAAGACCTTTCTGTTGAGACAAAGTGGGTGACCAAAGAAAAAAGGGCATTTTCCTTCATTAATTTAGTAGCAAATACCACTTGAACTATAAGGTCAACTATTATCCTCTATCTTCCTTGAAATTTAATTTCCTTTCTGCACGTTCTCTCTTTTCCCGCTTTTTCTTTTGTGTTTTGAGTTTCATTTGATATACTGATGGTAATATTAAAAAAAATATTTATAATAAAATCTTTTGTAAGGTAATTATCGGTATAATTTTATGATAAGTGTTAACTGATAACATTATAAAAATAATAACTAACTTGCTATCTCAAATTAAGTGTACTAATAATATATAAAAAAAAGTTATACATTTAACTGAATTTTTTGATTTTTATTAATTGAAACTATTGATTACCAATATCGTTATTATTATTATCTTATTCTTCAATTGTATTACTATTGTTAATTTTTTTTACTTGGGTTATCTGAACTGTTTTTTGCTATCAATACATTCTTTTCTACAGTATTTTTACCATAATTTTTTACTCTTGTATTTGTTTAATCTGTTTTGAAAACGCTTTCTCAAGATCTATCAAAAATAGCCTCTAAACCTCACACAAGGTAGGGGTAAGGTTTACGTACACCTTATCCTGCTCAGACTCTACTTGTACGATTACACGGGGTATGTTGTTGTTAATGGTTAATACTTCCTTTAACTTCCCCCACCTGGCCCCACACCCAAGATTCAACGCTATGAGTCCCCTTTTCTTCTCTGTACATGTTTTCTTCTGTTGTTATAAGCTACTATCTTCCCTTAGCCTACAAGTCATCAAATGCTCTCAAATTAAACAACTCCAAGAATTCTCTAAAATTAACTTTGGTTCCTCTATATTCTCTAGGAAATAATGGATGGTTCATATGTGAATAATAAGGGATCACCAAGTTACTGTAATGCACAAGAAGAGAGTGGATGGACAACTTATTTGGAGGACTTTTCAATGGAAAATAATAACAGGGAAAATAATAGTTCATGTTGTGAGGATGATAGTTTTGGTAGCCCTTCTTTGTTATCTGATGCTGCTTCTCATGCTGTTAATTGGAAGAATTGTAACACCAATAATCAAGTCTTGAATTCATATAATTCTCCTATGGGTGGCTCACCATTTCTTAAGAGATTGAATTTGAAGAAACCAAGGAACAAGAAAATCTCTGATCCTGATTTAGAAGACACTGCTAGCTCTCCTGTCAATAGTCCTAAGGTAATCATGATCACACTTTTGTTTATCATTTTTCCTTTCATTTTTCTTATTCGTGTGTCAACTTGTGCTCACCTTAACTATTTTATCAGGTATCTACTACCTTTCGTCATGAGTAGTATTGTTACCATATAACTTTTCCAACTAAAACTTAAGTAGAGTACATAAAATATTGTTTGAATCAAGAGTCTATTGGAAACAGCTTCTCTACCTTTGTAAGGTAGGGGTAAGGCTGCGTACATGTATATTACCTTTCCCACACCCTACTTATGGGATTACACTGGGTTTGTTGTTGTTATTATTGAACTTCCACAATGTTATTATATCTTGCTTGATGTTAATAGGTAAGTAGTTTTAAGCAGATGGACATCAATTACCAAAGAGCAGACAACAGTAGTGGAAATTTCCTGGTAACATTCTCCTCTCCAAATCCTGAGATATACTATTAATTAATATGAATTTCTTGAGCAAAATGAAACTATATCCACTTTTGTTTTTGGATCTTTTTGTTTATTGTTTAGGGAAGTATTGAAAGTGGTTCTATACAACAGCAACAAATGCAGACATTAGAAAGAAATAATGTGTGTTTTGATGGAAAAAACAATAGCTATATGGACCTGAAGAAGAAGGGACTCTGTCTTGTGCCATTGTCCATGTTAGTCAAATATCGAGGCTGATTATCTCCTTAATTCAGCTCTCTCCATGTAAAAAATATCATTTTCTGTTATTTCTAGGGAAAGGAATGTATTATTATATGAAAACTGGCAAAAAGATTAATAAAAACAAAATTGTGAAAGTGGTATTAGTTCTTCTCTTGCACGTGTGTTATTGGACAGCAGGAAGGTCCCAAATACTTATGTGTTATATTTGAGAAAACTTACACAATTGTATTCCTTACGTTTTTTTATTGAAAAACTCTCTGTTTCATATCAAATATATGCGGTTTCTCTTTAGTAAATACAAAATTATTAATGATCATATTTATATAAGTAATTCTTTTAAACATAAAATATCAATCAACTACTCCTCAATGCCAAACTAGTCGGAATCAATTTTTTTTTTCATCCGGTGTCCGATATTCACATTGGGGCCCGACTAAATCCGAATTCGCGCTAGGAGTCCCACATTGGAACGGGGGATAAAGTCCTCCCTAATAAAGCGACTTGCTCGAACCCGAGATCTCTGGTTAAGGATGAAGAAGCACTTACCACTTCACCAAAACCCTTACGAGTGAAATCAACTTTATCAAACTTCTTGTAACCATTCTGATCTTTTTAGACGCATTTAATTATCACAATAAATGCCTTAATTTTAAATAAATTTTGAGTTTTATGATATTAGATATGCTATAATTCTCACACTTATCGACACCGAAACGTATAGCTTTGTTTGTTCTGTTTACCCTTGTTATAACTCGGAATTCTCACCTTCGGGACCGTGATAGCGCCTAACATTTCACTCGCTAGACAAGCCAACATTAGAGAAATTCTTAAACCAATTTTACACAATTCAATTAAATAGACCACTTAAATTGAAATGAAACTATAATGAAGTGCGAAATAGCATAATAACAAGCATATCTAATACGACCCGGATCTAGAGTCACAAGTACACGAGCTTCTTGAGGTTCTACAAATAGAGTCTGAAATAGATACAACTGTCTCAAATGAGATGTAAATAAGGAAAGAGGAAGGGGACTTCAAGGTCTATGGACGCCAGCAGATCTACCTCGAGTCTCTAAATAAGCTAATCCGACCTGATTGTCACGACCCGGATTTTCTACCCTCGGGGGTCGTGATGGGCGCCTAGAAATGAGAGCTAGGCAAGCCAAATTTAATTACTTTATTATTAATAACATAATCCCTTTTTAATAATTATCGGCAATAATGCAAATGCAACAAAATTAAATAATAAGCGGAAGTCTTAATATTATAGAAAACTGAATAGAAATGCGGAAGATTCAACAAAGCCTCTACCCAAGACTGGTGTCACAATACTCACGAACTACTAAGAGTGCTAAATACAACCGTATGAAAGAAATTATAACTGTTTGTCTCGAAATACATGAGCTAACATTGAGTAATGATTGTAAATGATGTTCTGAGGGTTTGAAACCCCGAATTGCACATCGTAGTGCTATGTTGAGGTGAGACACTCGCTTGTTGATGAGCGTGGGGTCGAACACTATTGGGGATTGCGACTTGGTCCGTCCCGGTTGATGATTTTACCGTGTATTTGACTGAAACTTATTTGCTATCATTATGATTTGGGCTGAATGCCATATTTGGGCTTCGTGCAAACTATTTGAACCCTTTGGGCTTTTTATTGATATTTCCTTACTGTTTTGACTTACTACTTGAACTCAGTCATGTTATTTTTCACTGTTTTACTACTCAGCCATTTTTACTCAGTTTTGAGACTTAAATGATATTTTAAATGATGTTTTGGGCTGAGAAACACTGTTTTACTATTGCTCGAGGGGCTTGTGAGGATTTTTGACTGAGTAAGGCCGAGGGCCTATGTTGCGAGGAAACACTGATACTGATTTGAGGCCGAGGGCCTGAGTTATGTACGCCATGAGGTGGCTTGAT